GCCCAAAGCCTCTTAAAGGGCCGGACCTGATCTGGGCCGTAATTTGGCCCAAAACGTGGTAGGCTTTTAACGAGCCGGATCTCATATGGGCCACTATTATGCCCGGAGCGTGGTAGGCCATTAATGGACCGGATCAAATATGGGTCGGCAGTTGGCCCAAAACATGGCAGCCAGTTAATGGGCCGGCCTACTAGGGTCCTCAAAATCTTGTGGGCCTACAGCTGGGCTGGCCCATTAATGTCGGCAAAATCTCATGGGCCTTTAGCTGGGCCGGCCCATTATGATCCGCAAGAATCTTGTGGGCCTTTACCTGGGCCGGCCCATTATGGCACACAAAAATCTTGTGGCCCTTTACCTGGGCCGGCCCATTATGGCCCGCAAAATCTTGTGGGCCTTTAGCTGGGCCAGCCCATTATGGTCCGCAAAATCTCATGGGCCTTTAGTTGGGCCGGCCCATTATGGTCCGCAAAATCTTGTGGGCCTTCAGTTGGGCCGGCCCATTTAAACTTCATGGGCCGGTCCATGTGTCAACATATCATAGGTGCGTCTCGCCCATTGGATGAGTGACACCTGTGCCAATGCGGACCTGATACGTGTCTCCTCCAGCCAATGATGATTTTACACGTGGAAAATCCCCATTGGCCGGGGCTGTTAACGGGTTATCAGATCCAAAACCCGACCCGATAGCTTAATGGCGTTCTGTTACGGTGGATGCCACGTGTCGGTCACCCTTGACAAAAGCACTTCTATGACGCGTGATTTATCGTCATGGAAGTGGACACTTCCGTGATGATAATTTTGGTAATGTCATGGAACACTTCTACGATAGCACATGTATGACTATCTTGATTGTGTCATAAATTTGTCATGGATGTACATGCATGACAAAAAACGCGACCTACTGTGACAAACACGTACCATCACGGAAGTGTATTTTTTTGTAGTGGAACGTACGACACCTCCGAGTTCTGCACATGTTCAGCTCGATGACGTTCCTCGCCTTCTTGATCCAACAAGGTGTCGAGCTAGTAGATGAGTTCTATCAGTACAACAGCGTGGTGATGGTGATGGCGAAGTGATCCATGCAGGGCTTCGTCTAAGCACCGCGAGAATATGACCGGGGGTGTAAACTGTGGAGGAGGGTGCCGCACATGGATAACAATTGATGTTGTGTGTTCTAGGCGCCCCCCTCCTCATATATATAGGTGGGAGGGAGAGGAGAGGCCAACGGGTGCCCCAAGTGGGGCTGAATCCCAGTTGGGCTCCTGCCCTGTTTCGGCCCCCCCTTCCTTGTATAGGCGCAAGGGGAAGGAAGGGGGTGCCCCCCTTTCCTTTCTCCCTTGAGGAGGGGAAGGAAGGAGGGACTTTCCCTCCCCCTTTTCCTTTCCCTAGGGCTGGCCGGCCTGGTGGAGGGACGCAGCAGCCCCTTGTGGGCTAGTCTGTCCCTCCCTTGGCCCATTAAGCCCGTATCTTTGCCGGGGGTGCCCGGAACCCCTTCCGGTGACCCTATATGTACCTGATACCCTCCGGAACACTTCTGGTGTCCGAATACCATCGTCCTATATATCAATCTTTACCTCTCGACAATTTTGAGACTCCTTCTCATGTTCGTGATCTCATCCAGGACTCCGAACAACATTCAGTCACCAAATCACATAACTCATATAATACTATATCGTCATCGAACGTTAAGCGTGCGAACCCTACGGGTTCGAGAACTATGTAGACATGACTGAGACACCTCTCCGTTCAATAACCAATAGCGGAACCTGGTTGCTCATATTGGCTCCTACATATTCTACGAAGATCTTTATCGGTCGAACCATAATGACAACATACACAATTCCCTTTGTCCATCGGTATGTTAGTTGCCCGAGATTTGATCGTCGGTATCTTCATACCAAGTTCAATCTCGTTACCGGCAAGTCTCTTTACTCGTTTCGTAATACATCATCCTACAACAAACTCATTAGTCACTTTGATTGCAAGGCTTCTTATGATGTGTATTACCGAGACGGCCCAGAGATACCTCTTCGATACTCGGAGTGACAAATCGTAATCTCGATCTATGCCAACCCAACAAACACCTTTAGAGATACCTGTAGAGCATCTTTATAATCACCCATTTATATTGTGATGTTTGATAGCACATAACGTATTCCTCCGGTGTACGGGATTTGCATAATCTCATAATCGAAGGAATATGTATTTAACATGAAGAAAGCAATAGCAATAAAACTGAACGATTATTATGCTAAGCTAACGGATGGGTCTTGTCCATCACATCATTCCCCCAATGATGTGATCCCGTATCAAATGACAACTCATGCCCATGGTTAGGAAACCTTAACCATCTTTGATCAACAAGCTAGTCAAGTAGAGGTTCACTAGGGACATAGTGTTTGTCTATGTATTCACACATGTATTTGGGTTTCTGATCAATACAATTCTAGCATGAATAATAAACATTTATCATGAATAAGGAGATACAAAATAACAACTTTATCATTGCCTCTAGGGCATATTTCCTTCACCCGAATCCAAATCCGCGTCACAATGAGGTCCGTCTCGCGCCGGGTTCACCACCGGGGAGGAGGACAACCTCTGAGAGCGACGAGCTCCATCCCTCGCTGGGGCAGCGGGAAGTGGTAGCGGCCCCTGAGCATATCAATGGTTAGGGGTGGGGGCTACTTCAAGGCGGGTCTTAGGGGCAGGAAGGTGGCCTAATTGAGGTGTTGACCATGCTGACAGTGGTGGTGTGAGGCCGCAACAGCAGCAGGTGGTGGTGGTGTCTGGTCGCGGGGCGGGAAGAGATGTTGGCCACGGAGGCGCGCAGGTGGAGGTGGTGGCGATGGGCGTGGGCCGAGGTGGCGGCGGAAGAGGGTGCACGGCGGACAAAAGGGGGGAGGAATGGGTTGGTGGAAGCAGCGATCGTGGGCTCGGGCGTGCGGAGGGTTTGCGTCGTTGGTTCCGACATAAATTCACCTGCACATCATGATCTCGCACACGAGGAGATCCAATGCCCAGCAAGGGTGTGTGCTCAAAACGTCTAAAAAGTGCAGAGCGTTTGGCTTATTTGTTTGTTTATATTGATTTGCTTTAGGGGAAGAATTAAAGACAACAAGCAATTTTTGTGGTCGATCTCTAGGGAATTTTGGGACATGGAGTATTTCGTGTGGGAATTGCTACTCTGAAAATGTTTAATGTTGGATTTCATTTAATCTTCAAATTAGGTAGGCCATCAAATTCCGCTCTCTGGTTCTGTAATTTTTATATTCCTAAAACCTATTAAGATTAGGATGCAGATATGAAGGAGATGTGCATCCACCATGCTTTCAGCTGTTGCAGATAGAGTTAAAAATTGAACTTGATTTGTGATGATGAATATGTTGATATTTATGGTTCACTATAGAACTGAATGAAAAGATTATTCTTATCAAATGGATTTGGGTCGCTAAGTTATATTTAGTTGAAAGAAGTACTCTTTTATCTATCTGTGCTTATGCTTCTTATTGTTACGACCAAAAGAAGTTGTAATATAGGAAACACCTTAATCACACAGATTGCAAGAAAAGCAACATGGATCTTATCTATGGTATAAAAAAAATCAGTTTTAGTAGATGTGTAGCTGTTCTAAAGGTTTCCTTTGATGGGCCAATACTCGAAAGACAAACTCGCCTATTATAATTTGTAATGTTTAAGTATCATGTCAATGATACATTTTGGTAGTTATAAATGATATCCCTTGTTCTTTATAGGACAAAAAAATTATGTCCCTTTTTCTTCAATGAAAAAAATGATATTCCATGTTTGCTCTTAGTAAGATTATATGCTTAGCTTGGTTTTATCTCCCTGTTTCATCTTGGTAAGAACGGATGCTCTATGTCAAACATCTCAACTCTGAAGTTTGAACCATGGAAATATGAGCTGCTAAGCTTCCTTGACAACGGGTCGAGTTGCTCGAGAAGGCTCAGATTGGTTGTAATCCAAATTTGGGCTTCCGATTTGTTCACGCTAAGAGGGACGAATGCAGGAGAAGCCAAGCTCAAAAGTTGGGGGCGAAGGTTCGAGCCTAGCCTCTGGGCCTCGAGGCGTGTGCATGAGTGGTACGATAGAAGGATGGCCACCTGGCAGTGATCAGACCCTAAGGAAGTTGCGAGAACACATGCATGACCCGCTCCCACCCATCAAACAAGTCCACAACATTACAAGTCAAAATAGCGTGAAAGATCGGCGGAGACGTGGGAGATCGCGGCGCACCCATGGCCCTAAGGCCACATGAGACGTGGGAGATCGGTGCCGCCGCTGACGGGAGGCAGAAACTCTAGCTGCCTTTTCTTGGAGGATGGACAAAGGGAAGAGAACTGTATTAGGCTGATTTTTCCCAAGCTGTAAGTCAACTGGCCCCATGGTTTTTTTAAGAACAACTGACACATTATTATTAGGCTGATTTTCCACAAGCTGTAAGTCAACTGACCACATGGTTTTTTTTAAGAACAATTGACTCTACGGCTTGTGTGTAGAATCGCCACGGATCATGAGACTCTCTGGTCACTGGCTCACTGCATCCGCTTACCGCGGTTAATGGCCTGCCGAACAAAATCTTGTTCTGCTGGCCCGCAATACATATCCTTTTCGTTCTTACTCTATTTGGATCCGAATTGTGTACAGTCGGAGACGAACTCGAACGGTTCAAGTTCAACTCAAAGGTTCATTTCACTGCTTCTGCAATGATGCGAGCTTCCACAGCAACCGGGATGCATTGCACAGCAAACCTAGCAGATCCCCACTACGCTCAGACGCCATATACGACTCTACCACCAACGCTATGATATAGGAAAAGTACATGCACAAGACCACACATATTTACAAGAAAGCTAGCAAACGCTACCAAAACTTGCACACACACGACACCTGCTTTGCTATTGTTTCTGAAAAAGAAAAAGACACCTGCTTTGCAATGGGCTGGGGCTGCTCGCCGCTGCCGTTCTGGGATCTTCTCAGCACGCGTCGGAGAGGAGCCAACTGACGAACGACTCCAGCTCGTCCGACTCGGAGCCCTTCGCCGCCTGCGGCTCAGCGGGCTGTAGAAGGCCATTCTGGGCTGGCTGGTCCCATAGATGGGATGCAAACCCCTCCCAGTCCATGTCCAAGAGATCGTCCACCTGTGACAGGCCTCCAGGATCGATGCCAACAAGCCCATTCTCTGCTGTAACGCTGCTGGACAGGAGTGCCTGCATCTCGCTCTCGTCCTCCATGATCCCAATCTGATTCATTGAGCTGTTCACTTCCCAGAGCCCCATCTGCTGATCCACAGTGCAGTTCGCCTCGAGGACACCAGTCTGATCAACAGGGTCCATGACCATGGGCCACGTCCCATCCTCGCTGCAGGGCCCATCAGAAGTGTGGCTGACACTGATGCTGTTGTTGGGCTGATTCTGGTCCGGGTCGACCACCGCGCTTCTAGCCTCGTCGCTGTGAGGTGAGCTTGACACTGATGACGCAGCGCCGGCCGGGCTAGATTCGTCCTTCGCCTTGGTGATGGGCTCCGGCACCGGCTTCTTCTTTGTGCTGCTCCTTGGCGACTGGCCAGGGGTGCGGCCGCCGCGCCGCTTGCCGGCGGCGGAAAGCTTGTTGACGTCGACGGTTATGGCGGTGTCGCTGACGGCGGTGTAGATCCTCCGGAAGGTGTGGATCTGCCGGCTGAGATGCGAGTTCCAGTAATTCTTTATTTCGTTGTCTGTTCGCCCTGGTAGGTGGCTCGCGATCAGGGACCATCTGTCAGTCAGACAAAATGCATGCCCGTCAGCTGGAGATATTTACATGTCGCGGCTAAAAGCAAAGGCGATGAGGGTGTTTGGTTCATGGACTTTTTAGTTCCAGAGACTAGAAAAAGTCCTTGAAAAGTTTCTAGGAACCAAATGGAAGGGACTTTTTCTACACGGACTAGAAAAAGACTCTATTGGAGAGTCTTTTTTGATTAGTCCCTGGAACTAGAAAAAGTCCTAAGACTTCTGAACCAAACACCTCTAATATCAACACGAGAGGGCGACGTTTTACGAGGTTCTTTTTGCAGCAGGTTAACCGTGCTAAGCACACGGAGTACGGACGTTTTACGAGGTTCTTTTTGCAGCAGGTTAACCGTGCTAAGCACACGGAGTACGGTTATCAAAAAAGAAGAAGAAAAAAAGAGAGTAGACGGAGTATAGTCCTAGTGCATTGACGCAGGCCGCTGGTGTGCCGTAATCAGGGTGTGGGCTAGAGCGTGTCGTAAAGCGCAGAAAGCTCCGCAGCGTACACTTGACGTGCAGCAGCTTGCAGCCTAGTAGATCCCTGGACCTCAGGGTCCCCTCAGCTCTCAGCATCAGTGTTTGTCAACGTAAAGGCTGAAAACATTTAAGACACGTGGGCCCTGCATTAAACCTGCCGGGCCCATGGACAGTGACCCGTGAGCCAGATATGTATTCGACAGCCGATGAAAGTGGATGCTCAGTTTTTCGTCAATGAAAGAAAAGAAAAACATCATATCTTGCATGATAACGATGGTGTGTCAGAGAAAAGTCGCCACGAGAAAGAACTGCGAGTTAACCCTCGCAGGAAGAAAGTGACAACCTAATTGACAAGAGAGCTGATTGTCACTTCTTGTTTCCTCGCCGTGGCAGGTGAAGAAGATTAGTGAATGTATACGCATCGCCAACCTAGCTAATACTTCTTTCGTCTTAAAATAAGTGTCTCAACTTTAAATCAATTTTAGTATAAAATTATATTAAGCTTAAGATATTTATTTTGGAACGAAGGGAGTGGTTTGCTTCTAGAGAATAGCTAGTGAGGTATTCATGCGCGTGGGCTAATGCACATGCATGCACGTGCGCGTGTTACCGTGCGTCTGTTTCACTGAGGGCATTTCTAGTGCTTCGTACAGAGATGCTCGCTGAGACTACCAAGCAGGCAAAAAATATCTAATGTTGCAAGGTAATTAAAAGGAGAAAGAGGAGCTTGATGACCCATGACCATGAAGAAACAATTGCTAGACGTGGGTAGCTAGACAAGAACACAGTTTACAATCTATAACTAATTAATTGAAGGAAGATTAGCAACAAGAGGCTACGCACCCTACACATTGAGTAAAATTGCTAACCTCTCCTCGAAGCACCTATGTAATCAGAGAGGTCTAATAGTTTCTTGGGCATCAGAAAATGAGTGATTAAGTGTGGACGCCGGATAGGCTTCAACGTCGGAACTGCCAAATTGTAGTTTATTCCAATTTTGTAAGAGGGTGCTTGGATACAAGGGACTATTTTTAGTCTGACTAAAAATAGTCTTTTTTAGAGGCTAAAGTTTCAAGCACCCTTGACTAAAGAGAGGCTAGGACTAGTCTTGAGGCTAAAATCTTTTAGTCATGGGAAACCTACTAAAATATGTATTAGCTCTCTCTCTCCTCATTTAATTCCTCTCCTTAGTTCTGGATTGGAGGGTTTGGAGGATAATAAATGCTCAATAACTAGATTTTAGTCTCTTTAGTATTTGGATCCAAGCATGGGTGAGACTAGCAAGTTTTAGTCCCACTATTTTTAGTCATGAGACTAAAACGTATCCAAGCATGCTCTAAGTGTGAACCGAAAACGGCGGCTCATCTTCCTTTTAAGTGCGGCTACACATGAGACAGATTTGGACTGACATCAAGAAGGCTTGGCCTAACGCACATCCACTATGACAATTAGAGCAACTTTAACTCGGTTAAAGATTGGTGGTATTATTTAAAAATTGCCGATTAAGCAACTTCGACATTTACAGTTGACATGTGCGTGTTTGTATTTATTTCAAAATTACTCTCATTGTAAACAAATATAAGACGTTAAGTACAAGATTAGGTTGTTTTCCACGGTGCATCTACTGATATTATTTTATTTGGCTCCAAATATGAGCAGTCATAGTTAGGGGGAGAGAGAGACAATGGCTAAAAAAGGTTAGAGAGAGAGAGAGAGAGAGAGAGAGATTTTAGTTGGGAAGTGGAGAGAGACATTTCTTGATATTTTCCTTGAAGTCATCTACTCCCTTCTTTCTTAAATATGTCGTTCTAGACACAAACATGTTTCTTTGAACATTATTTTAAATCTGTAGGTACGTATTATCAGAAAATAAAGGAAATGTTCCCACGACAAATCTAATGTTACTATTTGAAACGAGGCACTGTAATGTTTTTGGAGTACTTACATGGAAATATTTTTGTCGTGTATCAATAACATCTTTTTAGTGTTTACTAATATATTTTCTAATGATCCCTGCAAAAAACATTTTTTTCTTCTAATGAATACATATATGTTGAAGATCCCACTGATTTGAAAAATTTACGTATATAAACAGACGGGGTAGTTCATATATGCGGTCAAATTCCTTAATATTTTCGCAAAAAAAAAAAGAATGCCTTAATATCCAAGGGAACTGGCTTTGGCTCACCCGCAAAAAAGAAAAAGAAAAGGGAGTTAGCTCTGGCTAGCTGCTAGCGGTAGCTATCTTGTGTGTTATATGTACGTTTCAACACGAGAAAGCACACGGCAGCGATCACGTCCCGTGCAAGCGTTTTCTCTAGACGGAAAGGGAAAGAAATAATTTTCGTTTTCTATGTACTACAGGTAAGCGGGTTTGTGTTGGAGTTAAAAGGACTACGTGCGGGCACTGAAGACACAAATATATAGTGGAGCATTGACAGACCATGCATCTCCCTACGTGTATCTCCACGCTCTACAAATTACCGAGCCTGACAGTGAGGGCTGGGCTGGCCATGCAGGACGCGCGCGTGTTGCCTAGAAGGTTTCGTGCATTCATTGCGAAAGAGAGGAGCGATCAGACTGCAGACGCGCCATGCCCTTCCGCCACAGGTTTGGAATGCAACTAGCGACAAGCACCACATAGCTAAATTGACCTGACGGGAATACTATTGATTATGTACAGTAGAAAAAGCACATGAAACGACGCCGGACGAGAAAACGAAGTCATGCGGGCCTGTGTTGGTCTCAGCCATAAAAGCCTCGCTGAGCACTGAAGAAACAATTGCATGTGATGCCTCAACTCTCAAACCAAATTGTCGGATGTTGTACAATTCGCACTACACAGTCAGTACGCTATGATTTTTGTATAGTAGCGTATAGTAGCATACTGAGCTGTACGCTATGATTTATGTGTAGTAGTACATAGTGTACTGAGCTGTACTCTATGATTTTATGTATAGACGTGATATCTGAACTCTCAAAATCGGATGCCGTCTAGTTTGTGGTACACGCATCCAGCGTACGTACAGAGCTCTTTTACCAACGAGATTTCATCGTGGCATTTTCACGATTGACAGCTTCTGAGCGCACGTGACAAAGCCATGCATGTGCTGCCAGATCGACTCAGTAGTCAATGCACTAGTGTTTTTTTTACTTACCTCTTTTGGACTGATCCATGTGGGCTGTGACTCCCAATGGTACTTTAATACTCATTAATTCTGTGCATAGCAGGTTGTTCGAAAGTAGAGCTGCACGTAACACTAATTTTTTGCAAGGGAAACAGCGCAGGGTAAAAATTAAAGGTAGTAAACTAAAACAGGTGTATACTGGTATCCACAGACACGTACCTGTTGCCAAGGGTGGCATGAAGTTTGACGATGAGGTCGTCCTCCTCCTTGGAGATGTTGCCTCTCCTCACCCCGTCTCTGAGGTAGTTGATCCACCGCAGCCTGCAGCTCTTGCCACACCTCAGTAGCCCTGTATATACAACCGAAGCAGGAACAGATAAACGTACATGTTAGTCATGACATGCCTAGTTAATCTGTCTGAAAAGTTGCAACTCATGAAGCACCTGCTGCAGACAAAGAAAATAGCTAAAGTAGTCATGATGATGCTCTAGCTCGCACATGCACGGGTTTATGCCATATTTACCTGCATTCTTGGGAAGAGACCTCCATGAGCCCTCGCCGTGCTTGGCAATGTAGTTTGCGAGTATGTCGTCCTCCTCCGCCGTCCACCTCCCCCGCTTCAGCCCCACCTTCTCGCAGCACGGCGCCCTCCCCATGGCGGCCCTTGTATACGACGTGCCTCGCTAGCTAGCTCCCAACACACGAGCAAACAGCTCGTGGTCGCCGGCCGGGCAGGCGGGCGTGGGCGATATTGGCTAGTTAGGTACTAGAGCGACGGGGTGTGGTCGATCCGCGCTCGCGCCCAAAAGGAGTTGGTGTGAGAGATCAAGGCGACGGGGGAGATGATCTTCCTCTTCTCTCTGGGTCAGTCGTTCGGGCGGCCCTGATCTCTTGGGAGGGCGAGCTTAGCTTCGGCCACGCCCGGCGGCAAGACAGGGCGCCATAATATAGCGCCGCGAGACGTCGGCCCGGGCGGTACGTAGGAGGGGTTGTACTACGTAGGATCGGCAATTAACTTTGGCCCGAGCGGCCGTGTGGCTGGAGGCAGGGGCACGTGGGCTCCCCGGGACCTTTGGGCGCCGTGGCGCAAGGCCTCACCATCGTCCGCTTCGCGGCCTCTCCGGCGACCACGTAGTCCACACACATGGATCGCGATACACGCCGGCCGGCTGATGTGGTGTATAATATATTTACTCGAGGATCCTGGGAGAGCGAAATCTCTGTTTACCATCTGACTGCCTCGAGTTTTTCTCTCTCTCGAGAATGGACTGCCTCGAGTGGATGAACAATTTTGAATGCCTGTCCCGAAGCTGATTCAGTGGAGGGCTAATCGGCTATTTTCACTACGTTTCCCGATCGATATGCTTCATCTCTTCCTGTTGGTTAGCCCGTAATCTTCTCCGTTCGAGCTTCTACTTACAAACTCGCTAGATATGCTTCATCTCTTCCTGTTGGACGTCTGGTCTGGCTTTCCCGTCCATGAAAGACTTTGTATCCCTATATACATTACTGGTTAATAAAGCGAGTTGCTCTCTTGATATAGCTCATCATTCTTGCCGAATGGTAAAGCGAGTTGTTCTTACGGATGTAGATTTTTTTTTTTTTGCGGGTGTGGATGTAGATTTTCTTTTGAAAGGATTATTGATGTAGATTGAATAGGTTATATATACGTGTCACTTCTGGCAGGGACGGGCGCGTGCTATGTACTATGAGAAAAGGATTACATAGATGGATACCGAAGGTATCCCTTAATGTTCACGTTTGTGCACAAAGCATGAGATCCGGAATACCTCGACCAAATCTGATGCAACAGGACACGATGCACATGCGTGGCACCTAACACACGCAGTACTTTTCCTCGCAAAAAGAAAACACGGGTAGTATATATATACAACCAATGTGTTGCATCGCTCTTGCTACAGGCTGCTGAGCTATGACGACGACTGTGATTTATCACGCAATGTGAGCTGCGCTGTTCGCGTCTGTCCTATGTACTCCCGGGGAGGAAAAAACGGGCCCGGCGACCTGTACGGCAAGTAATCGTGAAGATTTCTCCGTGTGCGTCGATCGACGTCGCTGTGTGCCGATCGAGCCTTCCCTTTCGGTCTCTTCGGCTGTTGATCTCTTGTAGCTCGATCGAGGTGGGCAAATTGAGCAATCGGGCCGGCGCTCGGTGTCCTTCCCGATCCAGCGTATCGATCGGTCCCTCCGTATCATGCCTCGCAGTGACGTTTGCATTATTGCGTATAATGTCTCGAAAATGAGACGAGGTATATAGGAGTACCCTCGAGACGGGCCTGCCCAGCTAGATCCATCATGGTCGACGGAAATTCGAAGGAGCGCATCCGTTTAGAAATATTGATATGCGTCGTGAGTCGAAAACTGGTTTCGGATGAATTTGTGTAAACAAAATAAAAGCTTAAAATCATGTTAATACGACACAATATACATGTTTATCATGTACTAAAATACTTCGTCAAATCATTATTCTACTTCATTTTCCTCCACGTTTCTCATGTTCGTTTCCTTCTTTGTTCCTCGATCGGTTCTTCTTTTCAACCATGTTTCATCCATTCTTACCATTTATTTTCTTCTTCCCAGTGCCCATGTTCCAGTGACACCTTTGAGTACTCTTCCATTTCGAGTCATCTGTGTTTTTCTTTCTAAATTCTTTCATCATATTCTTATTTCGTTTTAAGTCTATTGAATTATCTTATTAATTACAAATGCATGGTATGCTCCTTCTCATCGTCAACTATGCACCGTTTGCGCCACGTCCTTTGATGTCTACTACACAACTTGTTCTTGTAGACTCGTGTTGAGCCTTTAAGCGCAAAGTTTTATAGGATAGTAAAAAATTTCCTCAAATGGATAACCTAAGATTTATCAATTCATGAGAGGTGTAGCATGAAGATGGTCTCTCTCAGACAGCCTTGCAACCAAATAATAAAGAGACTCTTGTGCCCTCAACACCAAATACAATGGTAACTTGTATAGGTGCACTAGTTCGGCGACGAGATGATGATACAAGTGTAATAATGATAGTAGATATTAATTTTTGTAATACGAACAATAAAAAACAGAAAGGTAGCAATTGATAAAACAGAGCACAATCAGTATTGCAACGCTTGAAAATGAGGCCTATGGTTCATACTTTCGCTAGTGCAATCTCTCAACAATGCTATTATAATTGGATCATATGACCATCCCACAACGTATGATGAAGAATCACTCCAAAATTATTATCTAGCGAAGAATATAAGAAGAAATTATTTGTAGGGTACGAAACCACCTTAAAGCTATCATTTCCGACCGATTTATCCAAGAGTTCGTACTAAAATAACACCAAGTTATCCTTTCTGATCAATCTATCCAAGAGTTTGTACTAAAATAACCCCATATGATACACATCAACCAACTCTAATATCACCACGAGTATCCGTGAATTGATCATACGATATGCATCAAACAATTTCAGATTCATAATACTCAATCCAACACAAAGAACTTCAAAGAATGCCCCAAGATTTCTACTGGAGAAACAAAGACGAGAACATGCATCAACCGCCATGCATAGAGTACCCCAATGTCACCTCGGGAATCCGCGAGTTGAGTGCCAAAACACATATCAAGTGAATCAATATGATACCTTATTATCACCATGTGTATTTATAGCAAGACATACATCAAGTGCTCTCAAATCCATAAAAGTATTCAATCTGATAATAACAAAATCTCTAAGGAAAAACTCAATTCATCACAACAAGATAGAGAGAGAGAAACACCATATGATCCAACTATATTAACAAAGCTCATGATACATCAAGATCGTGCCAAATCAAGAACATGAGAGAGAGAGAGAGAGATGAAACACATAGTTACTGGTACAAACCCTCAGCCCCGAGGGTGGACTACTGTATCCTCATCATGGTGGCCGTCAGGATGATGAAGATGGCCTCCGATGATGATCCCCCCCGACAGGGTGCCGGAACAGGGTCTAAATTGGTTTTTTGTGGCTACAAAGACTTGCGGCGGCGGAACTTTTAACCTAGGGTTATTTTTTGGGGTTTCTAAATATATAGGATTTTTCGATGTCGATTTCATGCGAAGATGGGCCACGATGGGCTCACAAGACACTAGGGCGCGCCCTGGTGTGTTGTGGCCACCTCGTGGCTCTTCTGGCCCTCCCACGAAGCTTCGAGTGCCTCTTTTGTTCCAAAAAAACCGTCAAAAAGTTTCGTTGCATTCGGAGAACTTTTATTTCTGCACAAAAAACAACACCATGATAGTTCTGCTGAAAACAACATCAGTCCGAATAGTTCCATTCAAATCATACCAAAACAATATAGAATTGTTATAAACATGGCATGAATACTTTATAAATTATAGATACGTTGTAGACGTTTTAACATCCCCATGCTTAATTCCTACTCGTCCTCGAGTAGGTAAATGATAAAATAAATAGTTTATGAAGTGTAAATGCTAGCATAGTGCATAAGTTTGATCAATGATAATTTCAATCATTTTTCCTAGCATCATAACAACAATTCTTTCTCATAAAACTCGTCATGATAAAGTAGTAGTTGAAAACGGAATTTTTGATGAGGAATGCTACCTAATATTCCTCATATACTCTTTTCTTTTATAGCATGGACAATTGGATTTGCAAGATTCAAAGCAATAGTCTATAACTTGACATGAGGACATCAATACTCAATCATATCAATAAGCAACCATGTCTTTCAAAATATCAACACTAAAGAAAGCTATCCTTAGCCCATTATGCTCAATCATTGATCCATGATCATGAAACACAATCGAATATTAACTATGCCCAATGCACAAGTATGACAATAGTGTTCCCTAGTTGGTGCTTTATAAGAGAAGATGGAGACTCAATAAAAATAAAAATTATATAAAGTAAATAGATAGGCCCTTCGCAAAGGGAAGCAGAGTTTGTAGAGGTGTCAGAGCTCAAAGTTTAAATTGAGAGATAAAATTGTTTTGAGGCATGCTTTTCCTGTCAACAAAAACGACTGAGAATTCCCAATACTTTCCATGCCAAATACATCATAGGCGGTTCCAAAGCATAAAATAAAGTTTATTCCTTTTTCCACCATTCTTTCACAATCCATGGCTAGCCGTATCCATCGGTGCCTTCCATACCAACATTTTTCAAGGAATTTATTATTTGACAACATAAAGTAAATTTCTTTTCATTTCGGGACTAGGCATCCCTATTACCACCACACTCTCGTGCAATGACAAGTGAATAAACACTCATCTTGAGAATAACACATCTAACATGGAAAATATTGGCCACCCCCTACTGCTTCATGAGCGGTACGGGCACACAAAAAGGAAATTCATTTTGAAAATTAGAGTTGGCACATACAAATTACTTGGAACGGCATGGAAATACTGTTGGGGAACGTAGCATGCAATTTCAAAAAAACATCCCTACGATCACTCAAGATCTATCTAGGAGATGCATAGCAATGAGAGGGGGAGAGTGTGTCCACGTACCCTCATAGACCGAAAGCGGGAGCGTTACGTTAACGCGGTTGATGTAGTCGAACGTCTTCACGATCCAACCGATCTTAGTACCAAACGTATGGCACCTCTGTGTTCAGCACACGTTCAACTCAATGACGTC